TCCATCTCCTCTTCGTCGTCCAGCTCCATGTCCAGCTCGTTGTCGAGGCAACCGCGGCCGTAGCCACTCAGGACGCTGCACGTGCAAAAAAATCTTAAATTAGCACATCTGGGCTGCACATCTGGATTTATCCGGCTCTAATCTGCTGTTATATATCTGCTGTTGCATCCAAACAGTTGTCATTTTACTGAACTGAACTATTTATTTAACCTTAACCCTGTAATGCCAAACGTATCATATTTGGTACATACGGTTTCTGAAATGTTTTGCGTCTGACACCTTTTGCTTAATTTAATGGTAAAAATTTGCTCAAAATCCTATTGTTCACAATCAGATACACCTGATAACAGGGGGCAGAAGACTACGCAAAAAATAATCTTGACTTATCGCATAGTAATAAATTATTAATATAAAAAAAGTATTTCTGTTTTTTCTTTTTACATATTTTGTTAAAAGGCCAAATAAGGAATTCAAACCCCCCCAAAAAAAGTAATTTTCTGTTTTGTTTTATTCTTGGATCAGGCTTTAAAGGGTTAAATTCCCTTGAGTCTTGGATGGACAGAACTTTCCCACCATGTCCTCGTCTATGTCTTATTGGAGACAAAACAGCAACACCCTAACTCACAAAACAAGTATACTCAGTGTTGATGGTTGAGCTAATAAGGCTAGGAATAGAAAGTGTTAATGACTGAAACTGTATATTATGAGGTTATACTGACTAGATTAAGAGGCAAAGGATCAGGCTTTAAAGGGTTAATTAAAAGCCCTTTTTTAAAATTAAATCATTCAAAACTATCTATTAAACTTAAATTAACCCCCCCCCCCCCCCCTGACCTGACGGAGCGGCAGGTGAGGAACACGATCCGCTTCAGCTTCTTGTTGTAGAAGAAGTAGTTGAAGGACCAGAGGCTGCCCTCCTCCCCGAACGGGTCCGAGTCCAGGTCCGGGTTATAGCTGCAGAATCAGAATCAGAAACAGGTTTATTGCCAAGTAGGTTTTTATACTTACAAGGAATTTGCCTTGGTGTTTGGTGCACAACACAACACTTCTATGAGAAGCAAGAAATAAAAATATAGGACAGAAATGATAAAACTGAAAAATACAATCTTTAAAAATTTGGATCTGAATGTACAAATGAACAATCTTTAAAAAAATATAGATCAGAATGTACAAATGAACAATTGAAATGTGCAATGTTGATCTGCAACGACAGAGCAGAAAATGCTGACAGTAGCATTGGGTAAATTAGTGAGGTAGAGGGGGGGGGAGAAGAATAGGTGGGGGGTCGCTGGCCTTGTTGATGAGGCCAGTTGCTGCTGATAGAAACTGTCTTTATGGCGTCTTTAGGGCCGGGTTAACCAGGTGTACACGTACATACACACACTTACACACACACACGTGTACACACACACACACACACACACTTTCACACACACACACCTGTAGATGTCGCAGCCCTGCAGGTTGATCTCCTGGTCGATGGAGTCCCACAGCTCCGGCCCCAGAGAGTTGAACTCCTCCCCCACAGCGGAGAACAGGCTGCTGTTCACCGCGTTCGCCACCTGGAGGGAAAACACGGCACAGTTAGACCTCTGCAGCCCCACAACCAGCCACATCCACGTCGGCCATTTTGATTGGGTTACCAATAGGAAGATCCCAGGCAAGAAAATCCTAATTGCTTCATGGCGATATAGAAATTATTTAAAAATAGTGAAATGAATCTTGCAAACACTGAATTAAACTCTATCCATAATATTATGTTAAAATAGTGGGTGTTAAATAGGTTTGCACAATAAGTCCAAACAAGTTTAACCAAAAAATATTTATTTCTCACAATTATGAAGGGTCAGGGTTAGGGTTAAGTTTAGGGTTATGGTGAGGATTAGGGTGAGGATTATGGTTAGGGTTAGGATTAGGGTCAGGATTAGGTTTATGGATAGGGCTAGGGTCAGGGTTAGGGTGAGGATTAGGTTTAAGGTTAGGGTTAGGTTTAGGGTCAGGATTAGGTTAAGGGTGAGGATTAGGAAATCGTTCGACAGTAAAGCTTCGTTTCCACCTCAGAAAGCTGCTAGTCACACATGAGCTAATCAAAATGGCCGACGTGGATGTGGGAGG